TACTTACTTTGTAGCTCATTTTTGTTTCGCTTTTCTTTGACTTTGAGGGGCTATGTATTTCCCTTGTTATCTCTTTGGGCGACGGAGGTACCACTTACGCTGTTTTTGCCTAAGTAGTTACCCTTTTGATGATTTGTGCTTGTTTGGGAAACAAGGGAACCTAATAGAATGATTACTATGAGATGTGTATGTGTTTGATTTGTGTTCTGTTTTTGTACTGTATTTTGAAGTATCATTTGTCATGGCATGATTAAAATTAAGGTGCTCCTTTTGGTATAATTTTCTTGGAAATGATATTTAATTGACTAAAAAAATACAGAACGATGAAATGTATATTTTATTTCATATTTTCCTGTCTAATTGTTATTCTGTGATCAGCCCCTTCCCGCCGAAGAGGAGAAAGAATTGAAGGACACACTGCAGGAATTAATTGGACAGGGGAAGAAGGTCATTCTTGAACAAAAGGTATGTACTGGTTTTTCCGTCTGCTCTTCAATTCACATATCTTTATACATTGGATGGAAATCTGATTCTCTGTTTGACATGCAGATTGATCCTAGTATTTTGGGTGGGCTCGTGATAGAGTTTGATAAAAAGGTGTTTGACATGTCCATTAAGACTAGGGCACGCCAGATGGAGAGGTATTTGCGGGAACCTGTAAACTTTGACAACCTCTAAAAGGTGTTTGAAGACTGAGTCTGCGATCTCCGCCCTTTTTCCTGTGTTTGTTATAGTCAAAATTCTATGAAGGAAAAGAAAGATTTGTTTTATTTTGCTGCTCGGACCTTGTTTAAGAGATGGAAAGCAACTTGATCGGGATGTCATCTATTTGCAAATAAAAGCCTCATTTTTCGGATGTGTTGTGGGAGAACTGAGGGACTTCCCATTCTCTCTGATTTGATTCCTTTCCACGTTTGAAGTTACAGCTTGTTCAAGTTCTGCTCAATTGCTCCACAAGTTTTATATCGGTATTTTTGATTCGTGACACTCAATTTCAGGCACATTAGGGTGGCTTCTATAGTTGCCATCGCCAAGGCTCGAATCAAATGTTCGATCTTCAATGCTTTGAAAAGAGGAGGGTAGGCTGCTTGGGTAGGTCGATGACTTGGCCCTAATGTATATGTAGTTTTGCCTGTCTAATCCTCTGTTGCCCTCGTTTCGATTGCGTGAAGAGGATTTGTACGTCTTTTAATAGGTGATGCCACAACAATGTGTTGCGGAACAATAAATCAAGTGGGCATAGAATTCAAAGCTGGTAGACATTACGGCTAAAGGCTTTGGCTAAGGAGTTGGGTTTTAGTTAGAACTAGGGGTGCAACTTAGGTTGGGTCAACTTGAATTCATCTATGCTTAACCTGATTTCAAGCTGGATCGGATGGATTAGAATAAAGGAAAAACTTGTCCAAACCCAACCTAACCTCAACTCGGTCATTTATTGGGTTGAATGGATGGATGCCTTATCTGCACCTATAATAAATTCTTTTTTTTATTATTTATTAAATAGAGAAAAAAAAAAAATACAAACAAAGAGCGGGAGGGCAAGAACCTTACCCCTCCTATAAAAATAGAGCTTGTTCAGCTAGTACACTCTAAGAGACCATAACAATAAAAATACATGTAGAGAAAAACTGAGAAGCACAAGCTAAAGTCAGTGAAAAAGAAGAAAAAGGAAAACCAAACCTTTTTTGCCCCACACAGTGAAAACAAATCATCAAGGACCAAACCAGCAAAACCTAAAATTAGGTCGATAAGAAATGTTATAAATGTAAGCAGAAGCTGCATAAGGAGGAGAAGAACCTAATATAAACTCTCAAAATGATCCACGTTGAAATTAGTCAAATTATCAGCACTCTGAAAATATGAGAGACATGAACGTGCATGTAGGAGAGGAGCAAAGGCAATTAATCCAACGAACATGCAGACGCAAAGGACTACTAAAGAAGAATCACATTCAATCCACAAAAAATTCCAACCATTTTCCTGAGCTTAATCCACGGCATGAATAACCGCATGCAATTCCACTTCTAAAGAATAAGCAATTCTGATTGAAGATGCAAAACAGCCTAAACAATTGCCAAAACGATCTCGAAAAATACCCCCAATCCCTGCCAAACCAGAGGCATCACGAGCCGCACCATTAGTGTTAACTTCACCAATTCCGCTTTATATATAAGCTAGGTACAATTGATGACTTTAATTGAAGTATGTTGTTTTATTTGAACAATGAATGATAATGTTGATTTTACGTTTCTTTTGGTTGAAAATTTGATATTATCTTGTAATTTTATTTCAACTTTGTATCTGCCAACCCGCTCGAGTTGCACCTCCATTTAGTAATCGCACAAAACATGTTGAAGCTGAGATAGACTGTTCGTTACGGATAGTTTGGCATCACGAGTATTGTTCCTGTCTGTAACTGAGGAACACATAAAAAATTTGATAGTATCTGTCTGTCTCAAAGAGTTTCAGTTTTGGCGCTTCACAAGATTGAAATCTGAGATCATACGTATTCTCCATTATTGTATAAATCTATATATAGTTCGGCTTCAATGATGGTATTAGTGTGACTTACGCGACTAGTCATAGATTGGTTAGATGTTTTTTCTTTTTGCTAGTGTAAATAGCTTCATTGCTTCAATTTACACATAATATGCGGCCAAAAAATTTTTCTACATATCAGATCTTGTATGAACTTTTTGCCCTCAACCTTTTTCCCCTAAAAAGTGTGATGATAGAAACTCCACCGTCTATCTACCTACAAAGTTATAAAGGGTCAAAACCAGATGTGGGGATCAAACCTGATAAATCTCTCCACCTTTTTCTTTTGCACATGAGTTTCGTGAGTATCGCCTTTTTCACTTATGATTTGTTGAAGCACTGCAAGAAATTTGGTCTTTTACAAACCTAGCCAGATTTTGAAGACAAGATAGATCTATTCTCAGTGATACACACACTTTTTGTAAGGTTTAATTTGTAGGACCAGTACAAGGTGTGTAAGAGTGAATATTATGAATTGATGATGCGGTGAGTTGGTCTTTCTTGTCTTTGTAACCAAGTGAAGTAGTGGAGTAGGGCATGTTTGCTTGGGACAGGCTCAAAAGCATGATATAGATGTGTGTGTGTGTGTGTGTGTGTATAATGGATTCTGCTATCCTTCCTGGGACAGCTGTAGAAAAGATAGAGGGCCTTTTGCAAACACTTGAGTAGCTTGAGAGTTTTGCACTCTCAGTTTTTCCCTGAAAAGAAGTGAAATACATTAATGTTTTTTGGTAAAAATACATAGGTAATTGAATTTTCTTGAGATTATCTCTGGAGTTGAATATGACTGCTTATGAATAATCTGTTTTGCCATTTGGCTTGGAAAATGACTGGGAAGTCGCAGCTCTTAGCATGCAGGGACAGGAGGATTAGGTAAGGACACAACATGGGATAGAGAAATCTGTGGGTATATTGTACTTTTGATGGCTACAAATCATGAATGATATATTCCCGCAGTTAAGTTTAACTTATATTTTCAGGTCTATTTATTATCAGAAATCAGTTAAGGGAAATGATTTGTGCCGGCACTTTTTCATCTGATGCACACTCTCGTTTTTTAGCCATTGAATTGAGCAAAGGAGTGTCAGAATAAAAAATTTGTGTGTAGAAGGTGACTAGGTATTCAGTTATGCACATAGTCAACTTGAAAAGATATAACGCGGATTCACATAAGGCGATGTTGCCAAATAGTCTAACAAGATTATTGACCTTAAGTATAGGAAATATATTCTATTTGCTTAGATAAGTATCAGACTGTGAATCTAAACCACACAAATCAAGCAAAGAGCCAATTTGATGGCTTAGTTCATATTTACGGATATAGTTAAAGATAATTTTTTAGTCAATCGTTACACAAGGGCTGTGCGAATGTTGCAAAACACTGATGTCATGTTCAATCAATATCCTTTAATTTAACAGTGATAAAACGAGAAAATGTAAAATCACGAGCTATATCCATCTCTATACCATATGCTGGATGCCTTTCACTATTATAATTGATTAATATAACACTAGACTTTTTTTCTAACAAATAATTAGTTAAGTCATGCAAAAACAACCCGTCTTTTTTTTCTTTTTATCTTTTTCTTCATTTGATTTGATTTCTTGGGTTAGGGTTTAAGCTTTCTGTTTTGGTCGTAGGTTTCTAAGGGCTTTAATTAGATGCTAATTAAGGAACTATTAATAATTTTCATTTACTTTGAGTCTGGCCAAGGAAAGTACTTGAACAATTTGCTGTTTATTGCATGCCAGTAGTACTTGGGGTAGTAGATGTATAATGTTCAATTAATTTAATTTGATTTGGTAGCTGCGGAACCTTAACTTCTAATATGAGATTTAGAATGCATAATTTTGACCAAAGAGAGAACAACTGTAATTGATATCCGAAAGTGAGAGTTTGCTTCAAAAGCATGTTTGATATGATTGAGTTATCCTCAATAAGTTTCATGCAACCACTTAAACAATCCATAACCATCACAAATTATTAATTAATTAAAGTACAAATTACAAGTATCAAAAGTGCAACACTTTGCCTAGTGTACAAAGAGCACTCTTGTACCATCTCTCTCTCTCTCTCTCTCTCTCTCTCTCTCTCTCTCTCTCTCTCTCGGTCGGCATATAAACTTCAAATTCACGTATAGGAGGGGAGGGTTTGTGTTCTTTGTCTTTGACTCTTTCTTGTCTTTTTTGATGATTCATTTTTCTTCACTCACAAGGTAATCATGTATCATCTTTTGTATATTAGACATCTACTTTTTTGCTTCCACTTCACATAATAATCTCTCTCTCTCTCTCTCTCTCTCTCTCTCTCTTACACACACACATATGGGAATGGAGCCACGGAGGTCCCCCTCCAATCCGTTTCCCACTCCACCCATCGACCAACAAACATGTAATCTTTCTCTCTCTGTGTAAAATTTTTGATATGCATATTTTAAGCAAACCCCACAACCATCACTATCATCATCACCATTACCACCCCATGAAGCCATCTTATCATCATATATAGCATTCTTTTAGATCTCCATCCATCAAATTAACCACTTTGAACAACAAAAAGGAAAACCCTAAGAGAACAAGTCTAGCTAGCTTACAATTACAATGAGAAAGCCAGAGTCTATGGAAAAAGACGATGTCGGTGGAGCGAAAACTATTAGCAAGAAGAAGATGATGATGAACAAGCTTAGGAAGGGGTTATGGTCGCCGGAGGAAGATGAGAAGCTGATGAGGTACATGTTAACCAATGGACAAGGCTGTTGGAGTGACATTGCAAGAAATGCGGGTCTCCAAAGATGTGGAAAGAGTTGTCGTCTTCGTTGGATCAATTACTTGAGACCTGACCTCAAGCGTGGTGCATTTTCACCCCAAGAGGAAGAGCTTATCATCCATTTCCATTCAATTCTTGGCAATAGGTACACTCTCTCCTTCTCTAAGCCGCAGTGTTTATAATGCACAAATATACATATATGATGATCACCTGTAACTGTTTTAAAAATCTCCGCCTAGACGCTAGACGGCTGGTCACCGTTCCGATTAATGCCTAGGCGTTTAAAAATTAAGAAATGGTGCCTAGATCTGCTGAGACACCCATCTAGACCGCCTAGGCACCTGCCTAGCCCGTCCAGACCCGCCTATATTGCGACTAACTTAGATAGATAACTTTCATTTTGCATTTTTTTTTTCAATAAATTGTAAGAGACTTATTGAATACTTAAATGAACACACATTATATGCTTGTTCTTCATATTTTCATTATGTTTCAATACTTCATAATATATATGTCATTCTATTTTGTAGTTTATGATGAAATTATATATAATTTAGGTATAAACAAGCACTTATTTACACAAAATATAATAGATTTACTTAAATCCGCCTAATCTGCCTAGGCGCTAGGTCCCAGCCCACCGCCCGACTAGCTCCTAGCATCTTTTAGAACCTTATTAATTATTAAATTTATGTATTAGAATGAGGATATATCTTTCAAGGAAAGATAATAAATTTGAAATTTTCTATTCAGCATCTAGGGTTGTAATGTTATGTTCCCAATAGTTTGAGACTTCACTTCTGTAAAAACATTTTAGCAGTAGTTATATATAACTATAAGGTTTATAACCTAATAATTAATAAATATGGTCAACATTTACATAATAAATAAGTATTTACGTCGCTGAATAGAACGATCAAGAAAACATTTTCTTATATATATGGCAGCTTAATATTCAAATCTAAATTGTTATATGTGCAATATATCTAAGCATCATCTATGCAGATATTTTCCACATGCATATGCCTCATTTTGACGGGTTATTGAAGTTCAAAATTAAAGTTCATGGTGAAATCAACATTAATTACCAAATATATAAGCACATAATATTGGATATTAGATTACATGATACAACATTATACTTGTCTACATGCATATTGAGTATTATAGAAGGGTTAAATTAAGTTCTAACGTCCAAAGTGCATGCACAGTTGCACACTGAGAAAAAAAAAGAAAAGAAAAAAGGGAGGTTTCAGAGTGTTTTTCTGTGCCAGTTCTACGGATGCGCACAACCATTAGGAATTGATACATACTTCAACTTGGGGACGAATTGTAGGCCCATATTCTAAATGCCACATTTTAAGTTTGATTCCTGGAGCCGAAGAATTGCACGATGATGGTCTGGGAAAGACTGAAATGTCTCTGTGAGTCTTTCTTGCTCTCAGAAGGGTAGACTGCCAAGGGAAAGCCATCAGCTGATCTTCTTTTAAAAGAAAGAAAAAAACTTAGGGTGCATCATGCGTGTTTAAACATTGAAAGTAATCTTAAAATTAACGCATTTTGTTGGTGTCTTCCATAGCTGCTTTCAGAGCTGAATTGGGAATGTAGGATATATTTACACACGCACACATACTATATTGCATAAGTGCTTAAGCAACTAAACATCCATGGATTTTCAAGCCATGCATTTTGTTTTAGTCGTATAAAAAAGTCATGCTCATATAAATTGTTTGATGTGTATATACAAATTAGTTAGCTATTCATATAGTGGTGCTTTCTCTTTTTAAATGATGAATACCAAAAATAAATGGTGATGTACTGCGTATCTTTCTTGGTTAGTTTTTATTATATGTCCTAATTAATTAGGTGAATTTGTTTTTCTTATGATTAATAAAGGTGGTCACAGATTGCTGCACGTCTTCCAGGACGAACGGACAATGAAATAAAGAATTTTTGGAATTCAGCCTTGAAGAAAAGGTTGAAAAATAACAATATGTCCACGTCCACATCGTCACCAAACGATAGTGATTCTTCAGATCCTAGAGATCATGTCGTTGGAGGGACGTTTATGCCCATGCAAGACCATGACATGATGACCATGTGCAACATGGACTCATCATCCTCATCATCCACATCCATGCAAGCCATGGCCGTTAACAGCAACCCATTGTTCAATCCTTTTTATATGCTTGACAATCGTTACGACATTGCCCATGCAGACGATATCGTCCTAAGTCCCACATGCTTCCCACACTTACCAAACCTTGAAGTTAATCAGGAGCATTATGGGGATTATGGAAACTTAGAGGGTGGTCATAAAATGGGGTTAGAAGGTGACCTTTTTCTTCTTCCACTCGAAAGCAGAAGCATTGAGAATAATCTGAATGGTCAGTTGGTAGCTGATAATATAAGCAAGAAGAGTATTAGCAACTACCACTTCCATAATAGTTGCTTTAATAACACGGAAATCGGCTTTAAAGTAGATGAGGAGGAGGACATGTTTGGATATGAAAATAATGTTGGACAAGGAGAAAACGTAAGAGTGGGAGAATGGGATTTCGAGGGTTTCATGCAGGATATTTCCTCCTTTCTCTCTTAAAGAGGAGAGCAGAGCTACATAAATTCGTATTTAGCTAAGGCATTTGCAAAATAATTTTTTTGGCATTTGCTTACTTAGCCAACAAAACCTTTGGTGCATACATGAAATAATATTGTTCCTTCGGAGATCAGAAATGTCAAAAGTGATGTAAGTAGAGAATAGAATATAAGAGGGCTTGTAGTTTGTTAATTTTGTTGTACACAAGAGAATAAAAAAGTTGGAGGTGGAAGTTGTTAGTGAAAAATGAGAAGGAGGAAATTTCATTATGTAAACAAACGTTAATAACGAGCAAAGTAGATTCAATATATTTTCAATGTTCACTGCCTTTCTCTTTTATATTTTTATTGTTCATATACAACGACAATCTACACCAGATGCGAGTGCGAATTTATATGCCTTTTATTAATTTATCATAATAGAGGTTTATGAAAAGGTAGAATAGAAAGGATGAATGACATCAACTTCCCCAAAAAGTTCAGTTAGATCATATGTCTCATCTAATTCTTCATAAAAAACTTCTTGTTCTGCCGATGATTATTTGTCAAATAAGATGGAATATTTTTTTTTTTTTGGTAATAAAATAATATGGAATATTAACAACATGTTGATGCACGAAATCAGGTGAATCTCAAGTCAACGTAGAGTGTGGTGTAGAGACTTTTGCGAGGATGCTCTGGTTAAGAGTAGACAGATATAATAAGTATCAATGGCATCAGTATGGTACCGGCCTAAAAACCTCCAAGGGTTAAGTTAGCAAAGTATGTTTAAGGTGCCACATGGACGAGTTTAATTGTAGCATAGTGTTTAAGGGGTAATAGTGGTTAAACCTTTTGAAGGAGTAGAGGTTGCCCTATTATAGAGGCAAGCTAGTGCTTGAAAGATTAGCTGCTGAAACAAGAACACCACACTTTTTTGGCTTTTTTTGTTTAACTGCTAAAATATTTTGCCATCTTAACTTGGAAGGGCAATATATGTGTAAAATGCATGTTGCTTCTATTTCTCAGGGAAACAGACCATTTTTTGCAACCAAATCTTTTGTAACAGCTTTGTTCAATGTATATAAAACTCGAATTGCTTATCTTACCAGCTCCGTTCACCCATCTATCCCTTTTATTCATTTATGATTATGTTGGATTTTTTTTCTTCAGCTTAAGTGTGTCTTATTCATGTGGTTAAGGCTGGTGCATTCAAGTCCCTCAACAACGCGCTGACATTTTTATTAGTATTAATACTATAGATTAATGGAGTGCGGGGTTTAGGTTACACAACACAATCAGCCATCCATAATAATTTGATATCAAACTCAACAAACTTAAAACCGCTAATTCACACCATTAGAACAAAGTACCAGATGCTCTCTCTCATAATTCAAATTTATATAATTAATTTCCATAAAAAATCCAAAAAATGAAAAATGAAAACAATAATACAACAACTAAAATTCTAGGGCCCTTGTTTAAGTTTAGCATTGGGCTTCCGAAATCGCAGGCCTACCCTGTTATTTCATCATTATCAACGTACTATTATATAATTTATATTAATGTAACCACAATAGTGTTTAAGCTGTTGCAGTCATAATTATGATATGAATGGATTGTGTAAATCCTAAAAAGTTTTTTTTTATGAGATTCTATCATATCTTATCTTTTAGATAGTATTATAATTCAGTTGTAATCCTTATTGCATAAGGAATTTACCTTCCTTATTACTATAAATAGAGGCATAAAAGGGTGAGATAATACACACCTTGGACTTGCATCAAATTTTTTCTCTCTCCTTGACATCGCACCTCTTTCTTTGATAGGATTCTGCCATGTGGGCTACTAAGATGTTGACATGTGTATAGGGTTGTTAGTAGTTGTTTAGAGAATAAGAGATAAATAGCAAGTTGTAACAGATGGGAAAGCAATTACTAAAAAGTTGTTGCATTTCTGTTTGCTATTCTTTGTGCAATTAGGAAGAAGTGGAGAAAAGGCTTAACAATTGGTATCGAGCCAGTTGTTCTTCCCTTCAAACCTTCATGTTGTATGACGCGACAAGCATCGCGAAGAACCATGGAGTCCAGGGTTTTGAATCTCGAATCCAAGATCGGTGAAGTCTAGGCCACACACGAAAAATTTAGTGCTTCACAGGAAGAGCTCGAATCAACATAGAGTTCGATTCTTCATAAGCTTCAAGCACAGGAATTGATCATTCATCAGCTTTAATCCTTTATGACGCGCTGCAATGGTGGTTCGATAGGTGAATCTTCAGAAGCTACTCTTGGCGATAATCAATTTCGTGACAGAATGAATGGGAACGGTAATCATCACAATGTTGGGCAGAATTTCAATCAGCAACCACAACAACCATTTTTGAAGATAGAATTCCCAAGATTCATGGAAGGGGATGATCCACTGGGATGGATTTATAGAGTGGAACATTACTTCGAGTTTTTCAACATTGGAGACTCCAAGAAGGTGAAGCTCACATCGTTTCATATGGAAGGGGAGGCTTTACAAAGGTTTCAATGGGCTCATTGCTTGGAGAATTTCCCTTTGTGGGAAGAATTTTCAAAGGTTATGTGCCAGGAATTTGGTTCATTGGAGTTGGAAGACTATGCAGAGAGTTTGGTTAAATTGAGGCAAATCGGTACTTTGCGCGATTACATCTTGGAGTTTAGACGTTTGGCAAATTAAACGAAGGACATTAGCCCATCTCTTATCAAATCTTGCTTTATCGGGGTTTTGAAACTAGAACTTAGACACAATGTCAAGATCTTGAAGCCTAAAGATGTATTGGAAGCTTCGGCCATTGCACAACAGCTGGATACCAAATTAGTCGACTTAAAGGTGAAATCTTTCCCTAAGAATTCTACAGTTTAGTCCACTTTTCGTTCACCTTTACAAACGTTGAATTCCAATGTGATGCACGAGAATAAACCTAGAGCTCTTAATGTGAGAAGTTTAACCCCTGAAGAGGTAGATTTCTATAGGAAGAATGGTTTATGTTTTCATTGCAAGGAGAAATACTTTAAAGGGCATACTTGTGATAAGAAACAACTGCTTTTGATTGATGTTGAAGACTCTGATTCTTGTGTTAGTGAAGAAGTGGATAATGAAGAGTCAGAAATCATAGCTTGTGCATTATTTGGAATACCTGCACCACTAACCATTAAAACTATGAAGGTCCATGGGTTTATCAAGAACTGTCCTGTTACTATTCTTATTGATTCAGGAAGTTCCCATAATTTTGTAGATCTTGGCTTGGTTAAAAGGGTGAAGGGTACTCTTGACATAAGGCATAATGTAAAAATAGCTAATCGGGGTAAGGTTTCGACTCATGGTACATTGGCTCAGATTTCAGTAAAGATCCAAAACTACACTTGTATCACAGAGTTGTATGCCATTCAATTAGGAGGTTGTGATGTTGTGCTTGGTGTGTAATGGTTGAGAAAATTGGGTCCAATTCTCTAGGACTTTGAAAAACTGTATATGCAGTTCCAAAAAGGGGTAGTGACTTATTGCATTGCTAGTCCTGAGGTACCATCTGAGCAACTGGAAAATATTTCAGCCTTACAAATGTGTAAATTGTTGTAGCAAGAGACCACGGTAGGAGCAGTTTTATGTCACATTGCAACAGAAGAAGTCCAAACCCAACAAATGAATCCTACAATGGTGACTGCTAACTTAGATAATTTGTCCATGAACCAACTTCAGCAATTACATCAACTGTTAAAGGGATATAAGGCTATCTTTGCTACTCCAAGTAGTTTACCTCCTCACAGAATTCAAGATCACATGATCCCATTAATTGAAGGGAGTAAACCACCCAATATCAGGCCATATAGATATGGTCCAATGCAGAAAAGTGAGATAGAGAAATGTGTGAAGGAATTGCTACAGGCTGGATTTATTAGAGTCAACAACAACCCATATTCTTCTCCAGTCATATTGGTACGAAAGAAAAAGGGAATTGTCACGCCTCGATCCCGACATACGTCCAGGATCGACATGTGATGTCACCAAATAACCATATATCTGACATACCCGCCTCTGAGATATGTATCAAGCACATGCCATGCCTCGAATTGTGTATTAATTTTTTTGTACACTTTATGGCTTCATCTAACCTCTAGTTAGACTGCCTATGTAACCCCAATAGGGATCAAGCCATTCGTAGTTCATCATTTCACTACACTTAAACATCCATCACATAAATCGCTATGTCTTAACAATAGATCACAATGCATACCATGCAATATGTCAAAGAACCAATGACGAAGCACAATATTCTTCTCAAGCCACATTGATCAACTAAAATAATCATAATAATGACATCCATATCCAAAGTCATTCCACAATCCCGTTAATTAATCAATTCATGAATAAAAAATGCATGATCTTAGCATTTATTTAAGTTAATCAATCAATGCGATAACTTATCATTTCACGAATTTAACTAAGGAACTCTATATAATTCCCTACTTGGATTATGAGTAATGAACATGGTAATTCTAATTTATATTCACAAGATCTATTGTCGGTAATTCCCATTCACTCAAATCTAGGGTTCTAGACTAATCTTATGGGAATTAGCTAAAGCAAGGATTCTAGACTACTCAACAGAATCCACCAACATTGGGTTCCGTACCACTTAATGAAACCAAAATACCAACCAGTTTCTCGTACTCTACCTAGACCTATCATATGTAAAATCAGTGCCTACACCAAGGGAATGATGCACTGGCAAATTAGAACTCAATTAAGCTGCGAAGCTCGGGTGAGTGATAATAATATAAGTATGTGATATTCAATAAAAACAGACCAGCGATCATAATCTATAAGCATCAAGTATAGAATCATGCTTTAAGATATCATAATCAAGTCGCTGAAAACACCAAAAGAGTCACCCATATATCCAACAGCTTTTCTAATTCAAACCACAAGATTTTCAAAAACCATCGTTCATATGTACATTAAAAACTAGGGCTAGAGGGACGCAGTTCGGCCGAAGCCTACATAAGTAATCAAACAGGAAGTGGCCCCTCAAAACGGATTAACCAAGCAGAGCCACCCCTGAGAAAGTAACCAAGTAGGCAATGACACCCTAATGGGGATTAACCAAGCAAAGTCACTCTTACAGTTGTTAGGAAGTGATCACCTAATGTTGATTAACCAGGCATGATCACTCCTAAGCATACATGGCCATAAGGATCGCCCAACGTGGATTAACCAGGAGCGATCCATATATAGTATGGTCCCAATGCAGATTAACCAAGCAGGACCACTAGTGACCCCCTAATGCGGATTAACCAAGTAGGGTCAAGATAATCAGGTAGGTATTGACCGCCCAATGCGGATTAACCAAGCAGGACCACTACTAACCCCCTAACGCGGATTGACCAAGCAAAGTCACACCTACAGAACTGTTAGGCAATGATCACCCAACGCAGATTAACCAAGCATGATCACCCATACATATAAATGGCCATAAGGATTGCCCAACACAGATTAACCAAGCGTGATCCATATATAGTATGGTCCCCCAATGCGAATTAACCAAGCAGGACCACTAGTAACCCCCCAATGCGGATTAACCAAGCAAGGTCATAGTCTCATACTAGCCCTCAATTTACAAAACATTTCAATATGCAATTCGAATCACTTTTTCACAAATATTACCAATCCATGAATCAAATCACATTTAATAACAATAGATCAATGGCCAATTATAAAAGAATCACATTTTAATAGACAACACATTTATAAAACCATGTCATATCCACAAATGATATTAATATAAAGAATCGGGTAATCACCATATCACATATGTTAAAGTCACTCACCGAGACAAGTCCACAAAGCTTCATTAAGTCTCTAGTAATACTAATTTTAGTAATTCAAATGGTTCAAGACCTGTTGACCAAACGTCAACGGTGGGGTCCACACCCTAGCAATTTAATCCGGAAGATCTGCACATAATAATCTAGATCCGTAACTTTCTAAGGTCCACATTATGCTCAAAGAACAACACACTAAAATCTCATCGTGATCCGACGGTCGGATCTCCACCAATTGCTAGAATTAGGTGGCGGTTAACAATTAATTTACTAACTTAGAAATCTAATCTGGGAAGATCTGTACATCGGATTCCAGATCCGTTAGTTCTAGTTATCCTCAAATATTATGTTCTATAACACATTAGGATTTGGTGACGATCCAACGGTCGAATTGGTGATTCAAATTTTGATCAAGTGATGTATCATAATGAAACTAGGTTCAAACAATCAAACCACTTCATACAGATATCAATTATGAATTTAGGGCATCTAATTAGACTTAGAAAGATATCATTGGCCCAATGGCCACGCGCCGCCACCGGTGGCGGTCGGCCGCCCCGACTCATCGGAAAATTCAACTATTTCCAAAAATTACCAAATTTTATATGAAAATAGATCTTAGTGAGTGGAACAAGTTTCATACTTGTGGCCAAGTCCAATTTGGCCCAGAAAAGCTCCAATTGCCCTCCAACACGCTAGAAAACCTAGAAATGGGTGTTCCTCGATTCATTGCCAAAACAAACTCTGACACCTCATCCAATGCTTGGGCCTTGCTCCGTGGGTTGAAGGGAGTCTATCGGTGGTGGTGATCGATGGTAAGCGTTGTCGGAATCACCGTAACATGAGAAAACTCGCTGGAAAACCCTCGACACTTTGTGGCTTCAACCTAGAAAAATGGAAAAGAAAAATGGAAATCTAACACTACAGGGATGTAGGACTCATCAAGAGCTTTCTATGGACACCAAGATCACCAAAAACGGAAGTCGAATGAGGAGATATGGCCGGGTCAAAAACGACCCAACTCGGGTCTCTCTCATTTCCCCTCCTTGCTCTCCCTTCTGATTGGGTTGCTCCTCCCTTTTTCTCTCCCGCACTCTCTCCTTTCTCCCCTCTCCCCTGCTGCCACTTGGTAGCTTCTAAACATTTATTTATTTATTTATTTCCCAACAACTAAAATGTCTCTAATTTCTTCGTTATAACTCCATTTCAAGAACGGTTTTCACCTACGTGTTCGTGAGATCGAGCTCTATTCGAAAATATAAATTATGATCTCGAAAGGTTTACGGAATTTAAATAATTAATTTCAAAACTTCAACCCTCATAACTAGTTTAATTAAAACCTAAATTCAAATAAATTAATATAAATTCCCGAAAAATAATATAAAATCTCAATAATACAAATACGAAGATTATAACAGTGAAATCCAAGAACGGGATTTCACAAACATGGCGCATGTGCATGGATTATAGAGGCCTTAATGACATCACTGTTAAAGACAGGTTTCCAATTCCCCTTATAGATGAATTACTGGATGAATTGTTTGGTGCACATTTCTTTTCCAAATTAGATTTACGAGCAGGTTATCATCAAATCCGTATGCACCCAAATGATGTTGAGAAAACAGCTTTTAGAACACATGATAGGCACTACAAGTTCTTGGTGATGCCATTTGGTTTAACCAATGCCCTGACCACATTTCAGTGCCTTATGAATGAGCTTTTTAGACCATATCTCAAAAAAGTTCATCCTAGTCTTCTTTGATGACATTTTAGTGTATAGTTCTTCTTGGTATCTCCATTTGTCTCATTTGAAGATAATATTTGATACACTGAAGAAGCATAGCTTATATGTCAAGTAATCAAAGTGTGCATTTGGCAAATCTCAGGTAGAGTATTTGGGACATATTGTTTCCAAGGAGGGTGTTGCTGCAGATCCTAGCAAACTGGAACCCATTGCCAAGTGGCCTATTCCAACATCTGTTAAAGCATTTAGAGGGTTCCTGGGCTCAACAGGTTACTATAGGAAGTTTATTCCTGGTTATGGTAAGATCATTGGGCCTTTGACTGCATTAACCAAGAAAGACAATTTTTCTTAGACCCAAGAGGCTACTGAAGCCTTCTACACTTTGAAACAAGCCATGCTCTCTCCTCAAGTACTTGCATTACCAAATTTCAACAAGCCTTTCATTATTGAAAGTGATGCATCTGGTACGGGCAGTGCTTCAACAAGAAGGGAGACCAATTGCTTTTACTAACAAGGCCTTGTGTCCAAGAAATCAATCACTGTCGGCCTATGAAAGAGAAATGCTTGCCATTATCCATGCTATTCACAAATAACAGTCATATTTGGTTGGGAATCATTTTATTATACAAACGGACCACCATAGTTTGATGTACTTCCTTCAGTGAAGAGAACATACACCTTTTCAGCATAAGTGGGTAATTAAGCTATTGGGATTTAATAATGAAATCCAATTCAAACAGGGAAAAGACAATCAAGCTGCTGATGCTCTATCTAGGTCCCCTCTCAATAATACTTCTTCTTCATCCCTACAGTTGTTAGAAGAAGTTCAGCTGACTGCAATTTCATATTCATGCTCTACATGGATAGAAGATGCAACCTGGGAATCATACCATGAACGGAAAATTGTAAATCTTTGATAGTACAAGTATGATGGTTGCAACTCTGTTTCAATAATTCAATTGTGATCTTATTGTGTAAGATTGATTTTAAAAAGGGGGGGGGGGGTTATTGATAGGATTCTGCCATGTGGGGTAATAAGATGTTGACAGGTGTATGGGGTTGTTAGTAGTTGGTTAGAGAATAAGAGATAAATAGCAAGTTGTAACAGATGGGAAAGCAGTTAATGAAAAGTTGTTGCATTTCTGTTTGTTAATGTCTGTGCAATTAGGAAGAAGTGGAGAAAGGGCTTAACACTCTCCCACTTTATATTTTGTCAATTAAATAGGTCCTACAATACGTTATTAACACGCTCTAATCCACACTGATGCTGTTGCAAGCAATTGAAGGTTCGTGTAGGAGGTTCTTTTACAAACTCTAATTCACGTTTCATTTCCATTTTTCAGTTGCAGATAATAAATAATTAATGACGATATTGACACATAAAAAATTCATTGCCTGTGCCTCTTGTGTGTAACTAGGAAACTGAGACTGCACGTAGGACAGCGTGATACAAGTACTTCGAAGGCACATGGGAGGCTTACGAATTTTTACTGCAGATATTTCAATACCAGAAGCAACACTCTAATTAAGTCAATTAATTTGCTTTGCGTTTAAGCACGGCAATGGAAACAACAGTCTTCCCCAACTCAAACTTGGAGGGTTGCTCTTCAACTTTCTTATGGTATAAGTTGAAGACTTCATCTATGATTTCTTCTCCAAAGTGCTGCTTGATGTGTTCTTCATGAACTGCTCTAACGTGAGATGTACATAATAAGGCATTAGAGAGATTGCTATTTGGAAACATATTTGGTAAAATTTCCATTCTCTCAATGCTAAAGTATCCAGTTCTTTCTACGGCAACTTCCAGTTCTTGGGGAGACATGACATACACAGGTATGTTAAATGAATCTATTTTCTCTTCACTAACCAATCCCTGCATGTACAAAAACACATTGAAGCCACAGAGAATATATATATGCTCTTCTATGCAACATAAATATGAGAGATAAAATTCTCTCTTATTGGTAATTTTTACATGCATGGTTCTCTATCTTATACCATTATTTGGTTTTATAAAGATTAGATTAGTGGTATTATTATGGTAAAGAATAGGGAAATATTTTTTTTTCTCTCTACGAGTTTGAATTATTTATTAAGCTGATTTGGAGCTAGCATTTGTCTGGTAATATAATATTTTGTTGTCAATATGTCTCTGTGTGTGTGTCTATATATATAAACTTTTTACGCTAAGGACATCCTTCCTAAGTCTACCCCATAATACTTCTCAATGATCAGATTTAAATACTCATTCCAGGATCATTCTTACCAAAAATCATCCCATTTCAAAATTGTTTGTCATCTAAAATGGAAAAAAAAAAAAAAAGAAAAAAAAAGGGAACAATAAGGTTCTAGATAAAAAGTAAAATGAAAATGCGGATAGTTGATGGTTACGGAGTTAGCCTTTTTTCGGGCATCAATAATCCTTGAAAGAGCTTCCAAAACTAAACGTTCCAGACCATCAAATCACATCCCAAAAATAAGATGTCCGTAATTTATTCAAGTTAAATGATATAACGTAGCTGAATATTGATCATGGCTTACCTTTCTGGCCATGTCTATGAGGCAAGATCCTAAAGTTTCATAGATTACACTTGCCAGAGTATGAGAATGAGGGGTACCATTGGGGCGACATGAAATGATAAGCACCATCAATCCTCCATACACAATCTCTTGTGCCCTTGCATTAAGAAAACACTCCATGTCCAAAGCATGTTGAGTTTCATAAGCCCTTGTCACTTCAGTTGTGGAACTTGAGTAATAGATTTTTCCTTTATTCCAAGCTGGACTCTCTTTGTTCACTATCTCTTTTGGTACTCTAGAAAGCCAGTGATTTGAAGAAGAACAGTGAAAAAAGTGAATGGAAGCATTAGGAAATATCTTACCATAGAACGAACCAGGCACACCTGCGGCGTAGTATTGCCTGTTCTGAGGGAGGGATTTGAAGAGCATGTTAAAATCATTTGTGGTTTGATCGTTGAAGAAAACTTGAAATTTGGGGATTTGATGAGAACTCAGCCCTCGGCTTTGGTACTTGAGTTGCACAGTTTCAAGTATGGTTTCAACCGCAAAAAAAGTATTAGGCCCAGTGGAGCAGCCTAAATCTGCAATTCGAAAGGTGTTGCAGGATGATAACAAGAATGCGTGTACGTCAAGCTTTTCTTCAATTTCCTGTCTTAAAACTTCTTTAGAAGAATTCACTACACTTTCCTGAAAAAGAAACAAAAAATTAGATCGGATGATACATCTTAAAATTTGAAGTAACACCAGATGTACCAAATTTTATACAATAAATTTATGTATCAAATGACGTGACAGATGCCATGTTATAAAATTAATTAATAAAAATTTCCTCCATGTATTAATCATAGAATTATTAAATTTTACTCGCCAAAAAAAAATCAAAAGAACTTTCCTAATCCCATGATTCCATTCAGTAACTACTTATCGTCACAGATATGCCGCACCGTTGTATTTAAGTCTCTTCAGTTTATTGATAAAAAATAAAATGTAAAATAAAAGTTATTTATATAATGTCTCAGTGAGAGTCATGAACAAGGCGGGTGCCTAGGCTGCAGGGTCGGCCCTAAGGGTAGATGCGTAAGGTGACTGCCTAGGGCCCCTGACTTCTGGGGCCCCAAATTATATATATATATATATATATGTATTAGTATATAAATACCCTAAAAGAAAGAAGAATAACACAAAAAACTTGGTGACGTAGTGGAAAAGAAGGCATTTATTTGGTTAGTAAGGACTTCCCAGACAAGCATATTCAAATAGTTCATCTGAGACTCACCAAACAAGTATTGTTTTTCCAAATATAATTAGAAAGCCTACTCTAATAACAATTTAGATTATGTAAACTTAATTAGTACATTTGCATCTAAAAATACAAGACGTGTATTATCTAATTTTTGTATACCTTTCTTCTTTTGATAACTTTTAACGGTATTTGATGTAGAAATACATTTTTTCATGTATTAGCGAATTCTTTTTTTTTCTTTCTACATATCAATGTACTAAGAGTTGGGGGTCCGAGAATTCTAGGGCCCCACTTCGAAGGCTTGCCTAGGACTCTCAAATTCTCAGGGCCTACCCTGCTAGGTGGCCTATGCGTTCTTTCTTAATTTTCAAACGTCCAGAGACTAATCTGAGCAGTGGCCAGCCCAAGTAACGCTAGGCAAAGATTTTTAGAACAATTATAAAGAGCTGAACTCATTGTTGTGCTTTCCAAATTCCAACTAAATTGTTCCTATTTTTTTTTTTTTTACAAACGATAGCCTTTCATTCAATTTTCTAAGAAATGTTTGCATCTTCAACAAGAGCATTAAAAAGCCATTCGGATATAGCATAATCCATCTATGAACATCTCACCATCCCGGTTTTGAAACATTCTTGAATCCTTATATTAACAGAAGTACCGTTGACCCAAACAAATATTGCTTTTGCATGTTAAGAGTAAAGGTTACAAATTAAGAAGGTACCTGAAAAGTGGAGTTGTTAGCATAGCTGTTAGGGCCATCTCCAGCATTCATTGGATAGGCTTCAGACAAATTAGTATCCTCTACTTCAGTCATCTCTCTCTCTCTCTCTGTTTAGGAGTTGAGAATTGGCAAAGGCATATTGAAATTGCATGTTGCGGATCTTTGTTATTATATCCACGCTCTGACGCTAATAAAAACAAATTGGCCCAATGGGTTGGCTGCGTGTCTGCTGTCTTGTTTCCCTTAAAGATCCATTCATTTCGTTTATTGTTTTTAATTTTTTTGCTTTTTGTTTTTAGCTTTTACTTTTTATGATTAAAAGAAGTACATGGAGAAAAGTAGGACCGTGGAGAGTGATGTATAATTTCAAAATATATTATTGTGTTTATATTTTGATTTGTTTCTATGGCCACTTGCAAATAAAAATTAGAGAATATGTCATAACCTTTCAATACATATATTCAAACGGGTTGGCTTCTGTGCTGGTGGTTTGTCATAGACAACACAATGATTATTTTATATTGAAAAGGAAAATTGTGCATGCTCGCGGTTTGTCTTTGGCAAACTGATGCTAATTTTCAGTGCACCACTTGAATCCTATAGGATTGTTCGTAAAAGCTAGACCTAGTATTCATATCCCGTTTGTTATGTTTGTGTTATTTTCGTGACATATTCAATATCTTAATGAGCTTGTCGTGTAACACTTATTAAAATGAATGGGTAATATCACCAAATCTAAACTCGACCTATTAATATTAACGGGTAATATAATCCGACCTGATTCTCGTTAAAAAAAATATTTTTTAAAACAACAAATAAGCATATGAAAAACGTACGTGAGATCAAAGAATTCAACGGTAAAAATTTAATGTGAGCTTAAATTATATGGCTACCGTTGTAGTAAGGTATTTTAATAGTTTTAAATTAATGCTTGGCAGGAGCAACAACATGAAGCTCGGGTCAGGTGCAGAGGAGGAGGAGCCATCAACATTAGGAAAAAGATCATGAACAATCAAGAAGGGATGCATCTGACATGTCTAGTTGAGAAAATTGCTATTCGTAAGCTTGAAAAAGTGAGCCACGTTAGATCCGGAAGGAACAGAGGGAGCGGAAGACGAAGAAGCTGCTACCATAGTAGAAGGAGACGGCAAAAAATAATTAGGTCAGACAGGGGAGAGGGTGCGGCACAATACGGTTATAAATCTAAATCGGTTCATACCATATAAAAATTATAATCTGATAATTATGTTCATAGTACAACTATCTTTTTTTATTTTTTGTTTTTTTTTTTTTGTTTTTTGGTGGTCAAACTAGAACTTTCATTAAATAAAAAAAACTATTACATGAATTAGAAAGCTCAAAGGCAGTCTGAATACAAGTATAGTCAAAACGAAAATACAACAAAAAGGCCCAAAAAAGCAAACCCACAACAACAAAAACCCTAGATCAGGAAGACTACTGACTCCACCACAGCAGCTAAGCCGCCATTGCCGATCCTCCACCACCGCCAAGAGAAAGAACCCGCGAACAGCACTTTAACGACCATCTAACACCAAAGTGTGCCGCCGATGGGAGACACGAGATAGGTCGAGTGGTAAAGGTCGGCGGTGGAAAATTGATGATGGAGAGCAGCAACGGAGGAAGAAAAGCGCATAAAAGCATAGATCTAAGATAAACTCAAGGAGATTGAGACAAGCTCAAGGAAATTAGAAATTTAGGAGGAAAACCAAAACAAGTAAGAGAAAGGAAAGGAAAACAGGAAAGATTGAAGAAGGGAGGTCTTAGTGAGTAGGTGGGGGGGGGGGGGGGGGGGGGGGGCGGGGGTGGTGGGGGGGGCGCGAAGAAAACGGATTAGAAGAAGGGAGGGATGGAGGAGGGAGTGAGGGATAGGGTAGCTAGCTGGAAGGAAAAGGAAAAGGTGAGGAGATGTAGGGGTTGCCTGACGACCCTAACCGAAGGAAGGAGTCAGCGGCAAAAAAAGGATTGGGGGTTTTCCTGGGCGAGAGAGAAAAGTCTAGAGAGAGAGAGAGAGAGGGAGAGAAAGAGCTAGAGAAAATAGTACAAAGACCTATTTATACAAATACGTAGACTTTTATTTTTTATTTTTGAACAAATGATATTATTTACAATAAGGGGAGGGAATGGGCCTAACCTCACAATGAGCTAGCAATAATGTGCTTCAAATTCGTCTTTAGCGTAAGGATCTCTAAAAATCAAGAATACAATCGAAACCCGTTGCTGATGTGGAAGCTAGACTTATGGCCCGGGGGAGGCTAAAACGCTTTTGTGAGTCTTCCTGACCCTCGGAAAGGGTGGATAACCGTGACTTACCACTAGTTGTCCCTCTTTTAAAAAAAATAAAAAACTACTAGACCAAAATAATAGGGGGCCTCTCTTTCATAATTCGAATTTATCTAATTAAATTATGCCGGAAATCCGAAAAATGAAAAATGAAAATAATAATACAACATCTAAATGAAAAATGAAAACAATAATACTATTGGACCATGTATCAATTCTCTCACAAGGATGAGTGATATTTTTTTAGTTTTTAAATGTTGGTTGCTTCTTTGAGTGTTCAACTCATGATCTTCTATTTGCATGTGATCTTCTATTTGCATGGTTCTTCAATACCATAAGTTTTTTTTAATCTCCCTCAAAAGGTGTGAGCATGTTCAAATAGCCATATGTCTAGTCGTATGGTGAATTGCACCAGTATCCATTATCCAGGCTTTATTAGAATTGAAATCAGCTGGAGAATCAGTAGCCATGACGGTGTGTAATGGAGGTAGTTGAGCACTTTGAAATGCACAGTTGCTCCTGTTAAACCAGCTGAGAGTAGGGGTGGAAAAAATTCCCGAAAATCCCAAACCTAACTGAAAAAATCCCAATCCCAAACCAAAAATTTCCCAAACCGAAATTCCCGAAATTTTTGAGATGCTATCCCGAACCGATCCTGAAATTTTGGTACGGGATTCAAGATTGGCTTCTTGATATTTTGGGAATCCCATACGAAACCGAAAATATATATTATTAATTATTATATATGTATATTTATACATATATATTATATAGATATATATATATATTATTCTTTTATAATTGATGCTAGTAGTTTCTAATTCATGCTTTACAACCTGGAATGCCCTACACCTTGCATATTTTTCATGTTCTATTTGATATTCATTTGGATTTTATTATTGCTGCTGTCATGGCTGATGATTTCAGAAGGCTTGATTCTTTTGTCTCTCAATAGATTGCCAAAAGGGTTTAATTAATTTGAATTTCGACTCTGATAAAAACAGTCAGACATGCCAGTGTTCGATTAAATGGTAGTATGAATGAAATGACATTCCTAGTTCATGAATGTGTTCTTGAATTATATATTTGAAGAATAAATCATAATTTCACATTTTAATTTGGGATTCCGGATTTGTCCCAAAATCCCGAAAATATTTCGAGATTCCCAAAATTTGGTTTGTGATTGGTATTCAAATTCCTGACCTGAAAATTTTCTGTTTGGGATTGGGGATACTAGTTTCGGTTTGGTATCCCATACCGAACCACCCCTAGCTGAGAGCAAGGTGACCTCTTTTTCCACAGATTTGACATTCTAGAATTCCACCAGCAAATGTAGGTTGTTGTTCATTTCTATAAAAGTAATTTGGAGCAGTGTGCCCTGTTTTACTATAAATTCAACATGCAGGTATGATATTTGACTTATGTGCATTGTTGCCATTCCAATTTGTCCTGGATGAACCCCATTTGTGTTATTGGTAGAGGAAACAGAGACTTTATTATTTTTTTTTATTGAAACCATCATTTCCACCATCATTAAATCGTGGTTTAGATAATGTATCTAGAGCCATTAAAACCACCCATACTTCTATTAGAGGTAAACTGTTGTCCTCCATTCCTTTGATGAATGTTATTTCCACTGTCATTGGATCTCTGATATTAACCCACAAAACCAGTACCTCCATGAAAATTCTGACCATTTTGAATAGAAGACTCTCCTTGGTAAAACTGCCTTTGAGCTCCATCAACTGATGATTCTCCTTAATAGAATTGTCTTCTGAAAAGTTCCTCCATGGCCGCCGGCTTTTGGCTAAGGCTGGGGGTCGGTGGCCGCCCCACCTTCTCCTCTTCCTAGCCTCCATTCCTTCTCCTCTTCCCCTCTTCCCTCTCCATCCCCCATTCTCCTTCTCCTAGCCCTTTCACCCCCCCTCTATTTTCTTTTGCCATTTTCGTCTCCCTGTCCCTATTGTTCTTAGCCTTCCTCCTACCTCTTCTCTCTCGTGCTTCCTCCATAGTTTTTCCTTTCATCTTCCCCCCTCGCGCGCTCGCGCGCGCGTCTTTTTTCTCCTTCGTCCATCCCTCCCTGCTCCTCCCCCCCTCCCCCCAAGGTTTTCCATCGTTGTCCCAGGGGTTCTCTGGTTCCCTTGGATGGCTCTGCCATTTTGTGGCTTTGGTGGGTGTTGGTGGCTACCGGGTTTGGCGTTGGGGCGGCCCGGATATGGGTTTCGTAGTGTCCCTCCCTCGCTGGGGTGTGATGGGCTTTCGGATCTGTAGTGTTCTGTCCGCGGTGGAGTTTTTTTTGGATGCTCCCGGAGACATGGTTGCTCACAGGTTGTTATGCAGTGCAGGTCCGTTGCTCCTAGTGTTTTGGGCTCCCCAAGGGCTTTGCCCTTGGAACTATCGTTTCAGTCTCATTTGGGTTTGTTTTTGGGGGGTGTGGCTGGTGGCGTGGCGACTTGGATGAGATAGTGCCCTCTGCCTTCCTTGTCGGTCGTCGTTACCCTTCCCTCTGCTACAACCCACACCGGACGGCAGCTTTGACGATCTTTGGTGCCTTGGTTTTTCACCCCAGCTTTAGTGGGTGTCCCACACCTCTGTTATCTCTGCACATGATCCTGCTCCTTTGTATTCTTCCAATGATGCACCTGTGACTCCACTGTGGACATGTCGGATTTATTGTATTTGCCCTATGCATGTGTTGGTCGCATGCTCTTTTGTTTTTTAGTCTAGCTTTTATGACTGTTCTGTGTTGCTTCGGCAATTGGTTTGTGTTGCTACTGCGATTTTGTAGCCTCGTTGTT